TTCCGAGGCTAGACGATCTTAGTGGGTTTATAGGGATCTCTACGAACAATACTTATGGTCCTCATTTAGGATTTATGCGAGAAAAAAAATACCCTCTTTAAAGCTAAGGACTTTTGGATGGAAATCACGGGGTTGGATTCTTAGGAGGCCCGATCCGCCAAAGCTTCTCAAATCATTCATCGGGTCTTAAGGGTGGCCCTCCGAATTATCTCTAATGTTGTCTTCCCCCAAGAAGACAAGCAAAACTAGTAAAATGGAGCTAGAAATTCTTTGGTGCATGGTCACTGGCCTTAAAAGACCACATTTTGGCGCCTTTCTTGCCTTCAAACTTGTCAAGATTTCCACTAGTGATTCCGGCCCCATTCATTGTGGCGGGATAGTCACTTATCTCGCTACTCGCCTTGCTTGTGCCGAACTTTTTGAGGAGAAACGCCCTAATCTCTGAGAAAATCACACAAGGCTCCGATGCCCTCACGTCTAATGTCCTTGAAACCTCATCTTTCTTTCACAAAGAGAGTGAAGGTAGTCTTACATGGTTGGTGCAGAAAAAAACTCATTTCCGAGTTCCTGTTGGGGATTTCAGTTCCCTCCAACTCTAGCAGGACATTACTCAGACACGGTGGTTATTGCTAAATAACATTTCTGCTAAGCCCATCCCACGACCTCCTAAGCGGATAATCGTTGACCACGAAGACGAAACCTGTGCCACTCCTTTTGTTCCCCCTGCTCACTCTACTCCTCCCACTGCAGGGGGGTCTACTTCTGTTGCCCCGGTAGAGACCACCCATTACATTTACACCTGCCGGACGACTCAATACCACGACACGCACATGAGGCGTTTTGATCTCCTTGACCAAGCTGTTGCAGACATTCATGTTGATTATCTACAACCAATGCATCCATTCAACAATTGACATAAACAATACAAAATATTCATTCTGAGTTTATGCAGTTGTTGCAGTGTTGGACCCCTGCGATCAATCTTCGCCTCATCATCCCACCACTCGCATTGAGGATGATGTTTAATCTTAAGCTTGGGGAGTGGTCTTTGTATATTAGGTTCTAGTTTCCTCATGCATTTCATCAAAAACTTTTCAAAAATCCAAAAGGATTTTGCTTTTCTTATTTTCATTATTTTGGTGAATTCGTTTCAAAGCATCCAAAGAAAATTACAAAAATATTTTCATTTTTTATTTTATTTTATTTCTTTGCATTTCGCATTTTTAATCACTAAAATTTACAAAAATATTTTGATTTCAACTTATTCTTAGTATATATTCTGAAAATCGATACATCAAATCATAAAGGGTGCGAGTAGTTGACCACCTTGAAGTCCAAACAAAAAAATTAAAAAAAATAGAAATTAAATAACTCCTCACTTTAAATGTGTCTCACACAAACACAGAATGCTAGACCTGAAGGCGTCCTCTTCGTCATGGGTTTGGTAATTCAAAAATAGAGGGTAGATGATTTTCTGAGTTATGGAGTAAAGGAGGGTGGAACAACTTTTGAAAATACCATGCTCTTTAAAACTTGATACTTAATGCCAACTCTTGTTTGAAAAGACCGAGCAACCATCTTTAGAATCACTTTTGGGTAGACCTCTTAAAGGGGGATTTCGTTGCATCCACTTGTTCACACAGCGTCTGAAGTATTGAAGACTTGGTTGGCCATTACACCTAATCGGAGCAAAATATATAAAAGCAAATGATTCAAGAACCAATAAAGCGACAACAGAAAAAAGAATCCACAAGCCAAGTATTACACCAAAGAGATTCAGAAACAAAGCAAGTCAAATAAAAAGAAATCAATCTCAAATAAAAAAAGCAACTTGAGGAAGCGAAAGACAAAGTTCATCAAAGCAAGTCAAAGAAGTCAAATTGAAGGTTAAAGACGTGAGCAACACAAGATCTCGGGAGGATGCAATGATTGGTACCTTTGGGAGTAAGCTTGAGATGAATAGTAAAGATTGGGATAGATTGAAAGGTTGAGTCAACCAGGAGTACACTGAGAGTTTTAGAGAAGGGGTCCCTTTTTAGAAATATGATACCTTCCCAAATAAAGTAATTTGGCACTGGGGTTGTCTACATCTTCAAAACTACTGAATCAGTGACTTTCGTGTGAAGTCTGACGACCCTTTGACTTTGAACTCCCGACCCATGATAGTCATTTAAAAGATGACGTCTAAGGTTTGACTATGTTGAGACTTACTTAAAGAGAGAACAATAAATGGACAACATTTTGTGTTTGGATAATTGGTAATTGACTTTCGTACCCCTGGTGATCGAACTAGTAGAATTATGAAATTCGAAAAAAAATCCTTTTATGTTTTTGAAACTTTGTTAAGCTTATTTTCTTAGTTTCTTTTGTAAATATGTTATTTTCATTGTTTTTATTGCATGCATTCGTTCTTACCTCATTTAAGGTCTTTTAGTCCCTTTTGCTTTATGTTTCTTTTTGCCATCTAGAAATCTTGTTTTGCCTTATTCTCGTTCTTTCTTGAGGACAAGAAAGGTCTAAGTTTGGGAATGTTTGTTAGGTGCATTTTGTGCACCTATTTTAGATGTATATTTCTGTCTTTTCATTGCATTTTACTTCTTAGTTCTTGTATTTAATTAACTATTTGGGCACTTACATATTTTATTCAGAATGTCGGGTACTTTGCTATCTTTTGATTTATTTTGCAGGCTTATGGAGCGGCAGAGCATTGGAGTTACGGAGGCTAGAATGGAGCTTGTATGATGGAGCTTGGAGCATTGGAGCATGAAGAGAAGATTGATTGATCGTGTTACGGAAGAGAACTTGAAGACATAACCCGAGTCGTTGCATTTCATTATAGCAAAGGATCACGTTTGAAGCACGATATGTGTCATACTGACATGGGTCATATTTGTCATTTTTATCATATATTTGAGTGACATGACTCGGGGTGAAGCTAGACCAAAGATAGATTTGAAGAATTATTGAAGTTTTAGCAAAAAAACACGACCATGCTGAAACACATGGTCATGCTAAAAAGACATTGTCTTAAGACAAGCACGTGAGCAGTTATTTGTGGGGCTAAATAGGAGGAAATCCTTATTTTAACAGGAGGAAATGGTTTTGAGAGCAATTGGAGGCGATTTTTGGAGCTTTTGAAGATACCAAATCATTGCAAACATTTTTATTTCCATTTGTAAGCATTAAACAATTCCAATTTCATCTTTTTGTTGGTTGATTTGCTCTTAACCATGTGTGGTTAAGAAACCTTAATATATAGTTCTTGTTCAAAACATGTTGATAGCTTGATTTGAAGTATACTTGATATTTGATTTATGATTCTATTCGAGTGATTATGTTCTTGTTTTAACTAAAATCCGTGAATTTGGTTTATTTTTGATTGACCACTCATATGAATTGAATTCTTGTGTAGTTAATTAACTTTTAGGATACCTAATCGTTCTGTAAAGTTAATGATCGATAACAAACAATAGATTTTCTTATTGTAAAACATATATCACATTTTTCACACTTCCGAGCATATGAGAAGAAATGAACATTGTTGAGAAGCTTGTATAATATTTAATGCGATTTTTCAATATAATCTAAGAGTGTGTTTATGTTGAATTTGTAAAGCTAGCCAGCTAGGTTTAGTCAAAACGTGTTTTGGTTAGATAATTTGACAAGCAAGAGGTATCAGAGCGTGTTAATATCTTACGGTACCAACTTAGAATAACAATCATGAATTATATAAAGTTATAATCAATTTAAATGACAACATTAAGAACTAGACTAGAGTCATTTCAACTTCTTTACAAATTTGTATAGACTTTTGTCTCGTATCTCTGGGAATCTACGTTGCTTGCATTGTACTACTTTTTAGTGCATTGAAGTAGTATATTTGGAGTCTATAGTATCCATATTATTTGTTGGGTTTGACACCCTAACAAAGAGCTACATTTAAAATATACAAAAATTAAAAGAAACGATACATGCTTACCAAAGCGTTGGCTATCTATACAAACACATTTTTTTGCAAATGAAACATTCTTTTGAAATCACTTGGCTAGTAGAAAGCCCTCCACTTAGACAATAAGGACGCAAAATGGCCCCATACCCCATACTCTAAAAGTAAAGTAAGTTGCTAAAATTGTGAGTATGAGACCTAAATGATCTTTACCATTTACGAATCATTGTGATATGATGTATATAGTATTACCATGATATTAAACTATGTATAAGGCAACTAGTTAAAGCTTAATGTGAAAAATTAAGTAAGTTGGCTGGATAGTATCAAGTTATTATAAAAGGGTTATGGAAATGATATAAAATTAATACAGAAGCATTTAATAATCGCAAATGTAATTGTCGATTGTTAACAGGAATGCTGCAACATTGGATTACAAGGAAAGTGGATTAGAGACTTGATGCTAACTAATCTTCCCATGTGAACACATATGAATTTTTCCTACATTATGGTACATTACAATGACACATGATATTATAGCATAAAAGACTTCGTGAAAATAGTACTTTTTTGATTTCCAAGCGTGCTAATTGTTTTATTTATGAATTTCTTAAAGTACTTGATAAAAGATTACTCGTTCGACTTTCAAGCATGCTAAGTGTTTTTGGAAGTGGTTGCTTGTAGCTAGTCAATTTGTAGGTGAGTTTCGATTGCCACAAGAAGCAAAGAAATCGAGGATCGAGGCACGTCCAGGCCAATTTTTGACATGATACCATATAGCAGTACATAGAAAATAATTGAATGAGAGAATTCTATTGATGATTTACAAGTATACAAAGGTTCCATTTATACCATAAATACAAAATAATCTCTAGCAAACTAATAAATCAATTAGAATGGATTGATGGAATCAGTCGACATGTGTCATTTGATATGTAAAGTGAAACTGAATTGTTGTAGCACGTGTACCTAATAATCTGCTATACAAAACTGAATCATAAAGTTCAAGACATGAAGCAAAATTTGCAAGATTGACCATTCCAAGTACTAAGTTTCACAGTTTCATGCCAATGCAACCTCCAATAAAATTAAATAAAGCAACTCTCCACCTGTCCTTAAGCGCCAGAATCCCCAAAATTCCCAGAAACCCCGTCGTGAAACCGCTAGTTGCAGAGTAAATCCATATCTTCTCAGAATCATCATCGCCTTCATCTTCCTGAGCATTTCCACCATTTTCTGGGACTTGATCACGATTGCAGTTGACCAATAGTGGACTACCACAAAGCTCGCTATTGCCAGCATAAATGGATGGATCAATGAGCGTCTGGAGCTGACTTCCTGTTGGAATTCGCCCTGATAAGTTGTTGTTTGACAAATTCAGATGACTAAGAAACGTCAATGATGATATACTCTGTGGGATTGTACCCGAAAGATTGTTTCCAGAAAGATCGACAGAAAATAGCGAATTCATATCACCGATCTATCAGGAATCCGACCCGTGAGGTGATTGTTTGACAAGTTAAGACCCAACAATCCAGAAAGAAGTAGCAAGTTTTCAGGTATTTCCCCAACCAGATTATTGCTGGAAAGGTCCATGTTGATAACGTATAGCATTATGGTTGTGTAATCGACTTGGACTCCTCTCATTACCTGAACCAAACTCTGCTCGAACCCACCGGGAAAATAAAGATTGGAGTTGCCTCCCATCATTCCTTCCAACTTCTGGAAACATTGAGGGATGGGTCCCGTTAACTTATTATCTCCAACATCCATGATTTGGAGGTCGGTGCATTCACACAACTCAACTTGTTCTTATGTAGCCTGAGAACCACCAGATACCTGATCTTTTCACCAATCCAACTCGGTATGCTTCCAGAAAATTGATTTCGCCCAAATCCAAGTATCCAACACATCTAAACTTTTGAAATTTGCTAGAGTTTCCGGAAGTTCGCCATGGAAGCTATTGTTGTTTAGATGTAGCCATCGTAGTGAAGAACAAATGTTTCCCAAAGTGCTTGGAATGACACCTGATAGCCGGTTGGAACTTAATATCATATTACTCAGTTCTTGGAGGTTTCCGAAGCAATCCGGGATGTTCCCGGATAACATATTTCTAGAAAGATCGAGAATAAGTAAACCCGTAACGTTGCACACTGAATCCGGAATCGATCCATTGAAAAGATTGTTCTTAAGAAGCAAAAATCTTCCCTCAGTTTCGTAATCTGCGAACCGTTCGATAAATGGAAAAGAACTCGAGGAATCAGTTGTAAGGTTGGATGGAAGATTTGTCAATGGACCTTCAAGAAAATTGTGGGAAAGATCGAAGATCGAGATGATCGGGAGCTCGCGTAGCCAATCTGGAAGATGTCCTGACATGCTAGTATTTGAAAGGATCAGAATCTCGAGACTCCTTTGAGTTTGAATCCATTGTGGAAATCCAGATTCGATTTTGCAAGATCTAAGGAAAACGTTTAGTATTTGGAATGGAGGGTTCCAATTGGGTGAAATCTTGAAACTCAAATGGTGGTTTGAGGTTGCTGCCAAGTGTTTTAACATCGATGTGTTTGCGAAATGGGCTTCCGTGACTACACCGGATAAAGAGTTGTTAGATATATCAAGAAACTCAAGTTTAGAAAGCTGTCCAATGGTATCCGGAAGTGACCCTTGCAATAAGTTTGCTGATAAATCAAGAAACCGGAGTTGCGATAGGTTTCCTGGTGATAACTGAATTGAAGACAAAGAATTAGAGTTTAGATACAAGATTTCTAAATTTGATAATCGTCCCAGGGAGAATGGAATTGTCCCGTTTAACAGATTCCAAGATAAGTCTAGTCTACCTAACCCCATCAGGTTTCCTAAAGACGTAGGAATAGAACCTGTTAATTGGTTCCCGGAAAGAACTAATTCCTGCAAACTCGTTAACTTTCCTAGAGATTCTGGGATACTCCCCGTCAACTCGTTATAATCCAGATACAATCCTCTCAAGGCTGTAAGCCTTTCTAGTGAACTCGGGATTTCACCATTAAACTTGTTGTCGTTTAGAATCAGTGTCTCCAGAGCAAACTGGGCGCATGCCGATAGATTACTTGATGGTCCAACGAGTCTCCCTCGGATAGAACTGAAGGCAAGATCCAACCTTTTTAATCGACAAAGTCTCCAGACCCCGGTTACTTGAATACCCGGAAATCTATTTCCGGCAAGGTTCAGTTCTTTAATTCCGTTCATGACAGGAATCGAAGAATTAAGACTGTTTTATGAGATATCAAGAACTCGTAAAGAGGTCAGGTTTTGTAAAAAGGGAAAATGACTTAAAAGCCCAACGAAGTTTCCAAACCGTTTAAAAAACCCCAATCATGTTTTGTCTGTTCAAAAAAACCCAACAAACTTAACATTTTATCTAAAAAGCCCAACTAAGTTACACTTTCTTGAAAGTCAAATAAGAGAAACAGATGACGTGACTTATTACCGTATCGGAAAAATGACTTGTTAGACCAACGAAGTTTCCAAAACGTTTAAAAAACTCCAATCATGTTTTGACTGTTAAAAAAAACCCAACGAACTTAAAGAAAACAAAATTAGAATTTTCTGAATGGTTTGAAACTTTGTTGGACTTTTTAGACAAAATGTTAAGTTCGTTGGGTTTTCTTGAATAGATAAAACATGATTGAGGTTTTTTGAATGGTTTAGAAACTTCGTTGGGCTTTTAAGTCATTTTCCCTTGTAAAAACAGAGGGAAGTTTCCTTGGAATGAATTTCTACTAAGATCAAGTGTTTGAATGGTGGAAACCGTAATATTGGAATCTAGATGTGTGCGATTGAAATGGGAATTGGAAAGGTCACATCCTGACAAACGTAAAGATCGTAAAGAAGGAATCATATACAACAGTACCTTATCAAAATTTCCAACTTCACCAACACTCAATCCGCTGAGATCAAGATGTTCGAGTGCCAAAAGACTCGACAACCATGTGACATCATCAACGACTAAATCCATGTCGCTGAGATCAAGCACGCACAAACTCGACAGATTTCCGATTTCGTGAGGAATGGCGCCAGAAACGCCCGCGGAACAAAGATTCAGAAACCGGAGTTGGGTCATCGACCCGACGAACTTGGGAATCGGGCTGCTACGGAAATAGAGCCCACTCAAGTCCAAATAAGTCAAGCGAGTCAACTCGGCTAAAGACGAGTTCAACTCGTTTCCCTCTAGAGAACCTAAAAGATCACTCCCGAGATCAATCCTGGTGACATATCCGGTTGCATCATTGCAGCTCACGCCTTTCCACCGGCAACACTTGTTTCCGGTCCAAGATGGTAGTCGTCGAGCAGTAGAGTCTGATGATGCAAGGCTGCTTTTGAATTGAAGAAGAGCTCGCCGGTCGTGTTCTAAGCAACCGGAACAGAGGTTTGTGGTTGCAAAAATGAAGAAGAGAAAGATCCCACCAACCCATAGCTTCCCCATTATCGATCATGGATTCAAGCTCAATCTGACTTTAATTTATTCAAGACACCCCTGATGAAGTCAAAGAATTATAGTTATCACTCTTCCATTTCCATAAACGGAATACATAAAAGTAAAATTTTGGTGTCCGCTAAATTTTACTTTGATTAGTTATATTTTGTTCTTCATACTAAAAGAATTATTTTGTTGTCATGTATCATTTTCTAATCCTTTTCCAATAAGAATTACCAATTTTACCGTTAATCCTTTAAACTCCCAATGAAATCTGGATTGTTTGATACTCATGATTTTGTTCCTGATTTTTGCCATCATGCTTCAACGAATCTTCAATCTAATAGGCAATCGCAATAAATCAGGACGAAATCTTATTCAAAATTGAATTGTATGACATATTCAAAATTGCATCGCACAATTTATACTGCTCCGCCACTATGCTTCTCTACTACATTCATGTCCGGCGGCAATCGATAGTCTCACCGATCCAATGGTTCTCCGCTTCTCAAATAATATCTATCAATTTAATATGGGTCAAGTGTTGATTATTAATTTAATCCGTCATGCAGGTACACATCGACCTCCGTCATATCAAATTATTTTGCTCTTATTTTTTCTATGATTTATATTCTGAGAACCCTTAATCTTAAATGTGACATTCGAAAAGGTTAGCCACATACACGGGTGGTTTTGCACTCACAACCCCTACTTTTCTATACTAAATGCAAATTTTTTGAATTTTTTGTTTTTTTCTATTATTGTGCAATTCATAACCCACCACCGACAACACCTGTTACGAAATCTTGTTTCCACCCAACCACATAATTATAGGAGTTGTACTCGTGGCGGACCTAGTGCATTATAAGGGTATGCAATTGCATACCCTTAATTTTTTCATACATACATAACTTTTTTTTTTTTATTTTTTTATTTTTTTTTTATAAAATTATTATATGTAAGATATTAGGAATGCATACCCTTGAACCAACTCTTGTATGCCTCGACCCACACCGAACACGTGTACCTTTAAATTTAATTGCATAAATTTATAAACTTTAGAAATATTTTGGAAACCCTACAAGTTAAATACAAATACAAGTTTTATTATGTCAAAAAAAAAAAAAAAAAAAAACCCCTTTTTAAAGGGATACCACAATGCGTCCTTCAGCTTCTCGAATTCACTTCCATGAATCCTGTCTCTGCTCTCACACTATCCCCCGCCTACTGGCCCATAGCTGACTCGTTGACGAATTTAAGTGCTCTAGGCTATGTGCCTCCTCCAATTAGCTAATAGATGAAACATAATGATCGTCAGTTACATCTTGATGGTCGTAGGTTACCTCATTGGATCTACCTCTCGCTAGTCTTCGATCAACAAATCAGTAAAATGGCTCTGCCTCCTCTCACCGTGTGTATAGTTGGTAATGAAAGAAAGATAAATAATTGCTCACCAGAACAAGAAAGAGTGATTAATGTTTTCCATTTTTTTAGTTATTTTCTAATAATATCATGATTCTTAAGTAAATTTTGATAATTGATGTATTAATTAGTTTTATATGGTTGTTTTTTGAATAAACATATTTTTTGGTTTATGTTTACTACAATGAAAAATCAATTTCTTCATTTTTATTTCTTAATATATATATATATATATATATATATATATATATATATATATATATATATATATATATATATATATATATATATATATATATAGTCTCTTTATCGACCGCTAGTCCGCCATAAGTGCTAGTTTTTATAATGTAATGCTCGTTTTCTAAGTCGTTCGATTTAGGATTTCAAGGAGTCAAAAGGTCGAATTTTGGAAGAAATGGAGCCTCACGATGTGAGATGGGTTATTAAGGAAATTTTGTTCAGGATTAGCTTCATGACGTGAGACATAGAGGCTCATGACATGAGAACCGATGCAACCCAAGCCCATAATCATTTAGGGTTTCATTCATATCTAAGTCCCTCTAAACGACATGAGAACTGATGCAACTCATTGTTTGATGCTTGTCCATTTTGGGAGAATGTCTTGGTTTGAAGAAGAAGAGAAGAAGAAGAATAAGAAGAAGAAGGTGAAGTTTTGAAGAGGCTTGCAAGGAATCATCATCATCATCACCTCACATTGTTTCTGGACCCTTGTAAGTGTCAAGCTTCCACCTTTATTGTTGTGGCTAGATCCAAGTTTTGTCCCACTTTTCTCCTTGGTTGAGCAAGTTTTAATGAATGGAAACCATAAATTTGACAACTTTATGGGTCATAAGGGTCTTTAGAGTGTCATGAAGTTCAGATCTAGTGAATGATTAAGTTTTGAACCTTTGCATGAAAGTTGGATTATCTTTTCTTCAATTTTGGTCTCAAATGAGATCTAGACATGTATTTGACATACATGCCCATAAATCATCAACTTTTAAGTGTACTATGGAGTAATAAGACCTTCTGGAAAGTTAAAGTAAAAGACTTAATGGATTAAGGACTTAAATGTTTGGATTTTGACTTCAGACTATGCTCACGACGTGAGAGATAGGGTCTCACAATGTGAGGATTGAATGACCCCGTTTTCTGTTAAGCTCCTTGGAGCTCATGATGTGAGAGAAGGTTGGTCACGTCTTGAGGACAACTCAGGTGATTTTCTTTAACTGAGTTGGCAAGGTTGGGTCGAGATGAGTTGGAATCAGACCGACTGGACTCTCACAAAGTGACCAAGGTCTGGTCATGACAAGAGGTTGGATAGTTGAATTAAGAGTTGTTAACTTTTGACTTTGACCAGGATTAGATCAAGTTTGATCTAAGGGTATTTTGAGTGGTAATTGAGTTTGGTCGCTATTTGATGTATAGGTGACTGGTAGAGATGATATTCCGATCAGCTTCCTATACAACTATCTGTTCAGACTGAGAGGTGAGTCTTCCTCACCGTACTTGTGGGTCGAAGGCACCAAGGCCGCACCACTGGATTTCATATCTTGTTATATAGGATTACTGTTATGCTGAGTATGTGTTAGATCGGTAGATCTGTATAATTTCCTGTGTCCACCTGAGTATGTTTTAGATTTGTAGATCTATATGATTATCTGCTTCTTGGTTATTGATTGTTATAGTACATGTTAACATGTTATGGTTTGTTGGGGTGAGGCGATCATGCTTTGTGCTGAATGCCAAGATACCTAGGGCGGTCTGGATAGACTGTAGGCCTGCGAGGCGGTCCAATCAGGCTGAAGGCCCGAGAGCGGTCCGGATAGGCTATAGACCCTAAGCGGTGGCTAGAGACTTGTACAGCGGTCCAGATAGGCTGTAGGTCCGGCGCGGCAGTCCAGTCAGGCTGAAGGCTCATATATGCATGTTGTTATTGATGGGTTTTGAGCACTACAACATTCCTATGGTGTACATGCAACCCTAATGCTTTGGATCTAGATTTTTCTTAAGTTATACATGTAATATTAATTATCCAAAGCATGAACCCTAACTAGCATACAATATTTCGAAATTGACAACTAATACAATGTCAGATGAATACCTTTTCTTGTAGCTTGCTTAATCTTGACCTTCAAGATCTTAGTGCCTCAAATGTTGCACCTCTAGTGAATCACAAACACCAAGTAGCAATGGAGGATTATGAGAGATGAGAGGCTCCAAAAATCGACTAGAGTATTCTTTTGAATGCATAGGTCAATTTCTAGTGCATTGGGGCTCCTTTTATAGTTGAGCTTCTTAGGATTATTTACTTTGAAACCCTAATTACATTGCTTAAGACTTAAGCAAATTATGGATCCCTTCTAGAAGGCCCGCATATGGACGAAATCTATGTGGGCTATACATAGAAATCGTCCACCCCTTCCACAAGGAGCCACAAGCCCAACTTACAACTACTAGATAATTGCAATACTAGTCCCTTTAATTTAATTAGTCTCTTTAGATCACTAAATTAATTCCTAATCAATACTAATTAAATAATATGATTTCTCAATTAATATATTATTCATATAATATATTAATAAATCACAATTAACCTCTTTCTCCATAATTCATCCTATCAAATTTGCTATGGTGAAGGAAACCTAAAAGTACCATGCTACTATCGGGTCAAGTACATACCAATTATAGTTATGGCCTTAGAAACCTAATCCAACAGTCTCTCACTTAGATAAGTCTAATAATAATAACTGCAAGTACGACTTCAAAATATGATTAGCAATCGTAGCTCTCAAAAGCCGTTGTCGAACTCTGACCCAGTCAATAACGCGTCCTTTAGATAAAGGATCATGTAGTCCTCCAGTCTCAAGATATTGTCTGGACAAAGACATGGAATAAAGTCATACTCATTGTCCAACAGTTTGTTTCCCAATTTCTAATTTGTTTGACATAGAACTTAATTGAACACATCAATTCAGTTCTGATTGGGCCGGACACATAAGTCAACACAAAATCATCGAGGGGCCCAAGATATCACTTTTAATCCTCTAAGGATAAAAGGAACAGATAAACTTTGACTTATATGATTGTACTATTTATTTATTAAATCGTACACAACAATACGTTTTATAACATCAAGATACTGATGCATTTATGCACTATCCATGCACAACCAACTTGTAAACAACAACTCATATATCTCGGTTTAAAGACTATACGATATTATCGTCTCACAATCACTCGTGATAAATTCCATGAAGTGATTCATATGAGCGTGGGTTTAATCCAATACTCAAATCTTATTTAAGAGCTCTCATCAACGTTGCAACAAACTTTTGCTATGTCCAAACACTTAGAAAATCTACAAACCAATTCATGACAGTCTAGCCTCATAGCCTACTTCCAGAGTATGATTGACTGTGGATAATTCGAATAATCCTATTATTCTGGAAGTCAAAATATGCAAAAGTGAAAAAATAGTAAACAATTGACAGAAGATAGTAACTTTACTCATAAATAAAACTCATTTATTCAATCATCAAATGTCAATTACATTTTATCTATTACAAGTTTCTAAACAACTATCG